TAATAATGCTAATAAATAATAAAATATACATTCATGAAACTATACTAAAATATAATAATAAAATTCATTCTATAACACTATAAAAATTATAGAAGTTCTGAAATATGAAATAAGAGAAAACCTTGTTGCAGCCTAGCCAGTAATAAGCAAAAACAAAAGAACTCACTTAGAAGTTGTATTTTTAAACAAAAACAAACAATAGCAATATGTAGCAAAAGGTATTACAATTTTTAAACAAACTTTACAAGAATATATTTCTATAAACATTAGGCATAACTTTTTATTAGTTAGAATTTGAAATACATCAATAAAAAAAAAATTTTATTTCAAAACAAATTAGAGAAACATTTTCTAATATTGGCATAATCTCATCAATTAAACTATTGATATACAAAGAAATCTTAGTAATGTTAGACCAGTAGGTCATAATCTTTGAAATAACAGATAATTCAGATCTGAAAAGTTGTATTTTTCAATTTAGATATGTTTGAAACTACAGAGTTACTACTAACTAGAGAAAGGTTCCAAAGATATGCTTCTTCTGTAACAAAGCAGATTATATAAAAAAAAGACTGCCCAGACTACAAACTTTTAGTTAAGATTAGAAACCTACACAAGTTACAAAAAGAGTAAAAGAGACAAGAAAAAACTTAGTTTTAACAATACATAGAAGAACTTTTTGAATTCAGTTTAGAAAATCTCTATGTAAACAAGGACTAAAAAACAAAAATACTATGATTAACTCTTAAAAAAACTTAAAACAATAAACACAAAAGGTAAAAACATTCTAATGCAATACCAAATTATATTAGACACAGAGATGTTAACAAGCAATAATAAACAAGAATTTAATTAGAACTTTAAACAGAATTAATTAAAGACAAGCAGAATCTGAAACATAAAAACATACTACTAAACTCACTTGCAAATTTATATAATAATATATGAGCAAACAATACTAATACTATAGATAAAAAAGATGAACAAAGTTTTATAGTAGTTTCTAGAAAAAAGTATAGAAATAAAAGTAAAATCACAATTCTAAAAATAAAAAGAACTATAGTTCTAGAGACATTAGCTCCCTATACAAAAGTCAAAAAATTGCAATAAATATAGTCTCAACTTCTATTTTTAAAATATTTATTAATAGTTAAAAAAATCAAGATTGTATTACTAAATATTAAAGAACTAAATAACAAAGAAAATACTTACATTGTTAAAATCATACTACTTGAATATAATCATAATATAAGAAACTAATTTAAAAAATATCTATACAAGAAATTTTTTAAAACAAATATGAAGGTTCAACTCTTACTGGACCTTAAGAACAGTAATACTTACAGAAAATAATAATATGAAACTTAAAAATATTAAAAAATCTTATTATAGATGAGTAATATTAGCAAATCTTATTTACAAATGATACTTGTTTCAATCAAAAAACATATATGCTCCTCTAAACATGAAGAACTAAGTTTAATTTTTTAATAATTAGAATCTGCAACTTAATGAAGAACATATCAACATAGTGGCAGTTGACTTTAACACAAATCTGAATACACAAAAAGATTATATTAGCTATACACTAACTACTAATAACCCTTTGAGAAAATTACTAAAAGAAATTACTTCAGAACTGATTGATATAGCATCATTATCAAACAACCAAGAACTATTTCTTATTTATCACCAGAATATTAGAGAAAATTACAGTATAGTTACAAGACTTGATTACATCTTTATTAATGCCAATTATAGCCAATATTGTAAACATACTATCATGCAGTTTGGCAATTCTAATTACTTAATAATAGAATGTAAACTAAACTTTATATCAGAATCATCTAGAGCCAAACAATAGAGATTTAACAGAAATTGTTAGAATAACAAACAACTAAAAACAAAAATAGTTAAGAAAATAGATAGCTTTGTAGATTACTCAAGATAAGATTTATTTAAATGCAGAATCTAGTTGAGAATTAGAGCCTTTAGACCTTTATTCACATTAGAAAAAAAGATATAAAAGCTACAAAAAAATCTAACTAAACTAAATAACAAACTGGCTAAAAAAATAGCATTATTATAATTCAAGAACTTTTATTTTAGTTTACATTTAAATATTTTCAAAACATTTTAGAAACTAACTGAACTCTTAATTTTTAAATAATTAAATCTATAGAATATAATATACAAAAATATTTTTTTTTTTTAGAGAATAGTGATCCTAGTATAGTAATTGAGTTGTTATTCTCCAAGTAGCAGATCTAAGGTTCAAATCCTACCTATGATGAAATTTGGAAATTATATCTGCATTATAGTAACTGTTTTCTGTCAATCAGTTAGCCTCATACAGCTGTAATCCAGATATACCAAGTCAGGTCCTACTAACATTAAAAGCTCAGAGCATCTATGTGAAATATAACATTATACATACATAGAGGAATATATAACTAATGTTGCATAAGACCTCAGTACAAACTTATGATAAGACTACCAGATGTAGAAGACTAAAGAACTGAGGTAACAGAAACCCACTTGGAAATTTCTGAGTAAAAAGATAGTATGAACTTTCAATAATATTATTAGACTGGTTGAAGCTTATAAAACACCTTTATAAAAACCAAAAGTTAAAACTGAACATCAAATATATGTAGAGGAGCACATAACCAATCAGGTCACCAGATTCACTAGAGGAAAAGAATACAGAAGTATATCATACTGAGTCATCTGGATTGGTAGTCTGGAATAAGACTGATGGTTCTAAGTTGCAACTAGTAGAGAATGATGATGAAGATGCTGAGAAGATGGGTACTGGGATTCTAGTAAACTTTACAAGAGTAGAAATAGTGTAATATAGTGGTTAAACAAGTAACTCCTGTGACTGCAAGTGTTAGATAACTATAACATGTTGCATAAAACTAGGTTTATATATGTGAAACATAAAGACTCTAGTAAGTTTCCTGTTAAGGATAAAGTAGTCCTAAGAATAATAATCAGCATCAGGAACTTGAATAGGTAGTGCCTTGAGATGTTTTTATAATACAAGGAGAATTGCAGTTACAAAGAGTTTAAATAGGCAAAACTCTAATTGGTTTGCAGGTATAACAACTAGTATAGAACTTATATAGCAATGTGTAAGTGAACTACTTAAATTAGGCACCAAAAGTGTATATGTAACTAGTTGTAATCTTTAATATAAGGTAAGCCCCTGGTGGCATGCTGTGTTCTAATATACTTGAATAAAAATATCACATCTTCAAGATGAAAACTTTAAAAAAATATATATATATATTTTTTTTATATTAAAATTTTTAAAGACAATCTACTTACTATAAAAAATTCTAATATTCAATATTTTTATTTGTATATAACATCAATATACTTCTAATATACAAACTTTGAAAATATACTTTATCTTATTTTTTGTACAAACAATAATACCAATATCAACTAAAGCAATTCTTAATATAATTTAATTAATACTTACTTTATTTCAAATATTTAATAATTTAACACTTTTTATTCTTAATATAATTATGAACTTCATAGCTAACTTTACCAATTCTGATTACTAATTAATCTTATATATCTTATTTAACATCTTCTTTATAACAACCTATAATAATATTAAAATTCTTTTAAATAAACAAATAAACAAATATCTTTCTAATTAATTTTACTAACAATCTTCTTACCTAGTACTATTAAGATCTATGATCTATATGTAATATATTTCAACATCAATGAAAACTTTTTTGAAATTTAACTACTAAAACTAAATATACAAAAATTCACTTTTTTACAATACCTACTATCATTAATAATTCTTTAAAATCTACACAATCTATTAACATTACACATTTTATTAACAAATAATTTTTACAAAGTTTCTCTTTAATCATATGCTTTATATAATATCTTGCTCTTACTTAAGGTTTTCTCTAGCCTATCCTAGCTAGAAAATAATTTGAAACAATTATCTATAGCACTCATTAAGAAATAGGAAATATAATGTCATTTTGGGTGTCTTTGTAACAACACAAATGTAGTTTAGAAATCTTATTTTAGAAATTTTCTTTTGTAATTAAATTTCTTATTGTATCTTAAAGTTTTTACTATGATATTATATGTATAAATAAATAAATAAATAAATACAATTTACGTGACATATTGTGTGACTGATACGTATTTTTATGATCCCCAATTATCATTGAAAAGGTTTTTTTCAGTATTATAATAATTAGTTGCAATCCAGTACAAAAGTAAGTTTAATTAAAACAATAAATGTCTCGAGTACAACTTTTATTTATGCCGCTATCTTTATTGCTTTTATTACTAATCGTTTCTTTGGTTTAATAAATTTAGCGACAGCCGTCATAATATCTATCGTATTAGGTAAATTGATGTCTAGAGAATATTTTCCTGCTAAATTAAAAAGAAGACGCGATGGTTCTATATCCAATGTTATAGCATTGATTGATTGCTAAAATTAAAAAGGTCAATTCAATAAACGTCTGAAATATTATTACTAAAAAAAAAAAAAAAAATATCCAACTCACTGAGCCTATTAATGGTATTTCAATAGCAATTATAATATAACTTTTATTATCTTTGTGTTCCTCGGCAATTATATGCACTGGCTTTTGAATTTGTGGCTTAACAGTTTTAATATCGTTAATATTGTTCGTTGCTTTTTTTTGTTGTGATGGTGAACGAGTAAGTATTTCGGCTATTAATGATGGTTTTTCCTTCGGAAGTTGAACTAATCTACGTTCTATCTTGCCTTTATAAGAAATTTTTGGAAATGTAAATTCTGAAAATAACAATGTGAATAATGGGTTATTTATAATTATCAATATTTAATTATGTTAAACAATAAAATGTTCAAGGTTCTTTTTTGTGTCAGATGTAATTTACCTCGACTCAACTGTAGTATGTGATTATCCTCCATCAGTTCCACTGCCAATTCGGTTATATATAGTTTGAAATCTGAATCTTTAATTGTTCTTTTATATGGTTCTGAATGTATTATAGCATCACACACGAAACATTCGTTTTGACCTTTGTAAGAGATGAATGTTAATAAATGTATTTGTAAAAAGTGTGCTGCCACTAAACTAGTGATTGTTCTAACCTTTATCTGTATCTTGTCGCAAATCACTCAGTACAAGCGGGACATTATACATTGCATCCTCTTCTGCATTCATAGCTTTACGTATTTCATCTTCGCTTGCAGCGGGTGGACGAGGAATTACGTCCGAATGGCATATATTGATCAAAATTTTTACGTTTTGATATTGCTTGCAATTTTTGGTAGTATAAGTTTTCGCTACAAATCCCGGTACAGGTTGCACTGGGACCGTTTTATACTCAGCATTTGGTGGTGAAAGCTGTTCGGCAAGCGCGGTCATTGCTTGTGGATTTTCTGCTATTTGTGACGTAAATTTTTCCATGAAAATTTTCTCTGCTAGTTTCTCAGACGAGGTGTCTTTATTCAAAGTGAGTAAAGACGATAAAAGGTTTGAACCTTTTCCTTCGCCGAAATCTAATTTCTCATAGGACATAGTAATGTTAATTTCGCCGAAAGAAATGTAGCGGGGTTACAATTAGGGTGTATCGGTATCAAAAAAAGTATGTTCCGGATATAGGGTTTAGACGTGCAAGAAATCTAAAAATCCGTGCCAGGTTTTGTCGTCCGTTTTGTCAAAAATCACGAAAAACAGTATAAAAAACTTTATTGCAGTGATCGACAAAACCTGAAATTTAGGTGCGTCGATCATTTGGCCCCATATTAAGAATCACCAATAGTCACTTTAATTTTTATAAAAAAAATGTTGCTTCAGCAAACTTGCTCGGGAAAAACTAATGGTTATGTCCAAAGCTTTCATTCTGCATGCTGGGAAGGTGTTCGCTATCTTGTAAGCTGATTATAAAAATATGGTTTAAATTAAAATCATCTTCTGATGTTTCTACCAAACTACATTAAACAAGGCATATGGAACCGGAAGTAGTTTAGTGATATATAACAGCTGTCTAGAACATATCCAAACAACAGATGTTTCAAAATTATTGAAAGACATTAAACAGGAGCCAGGACTAGAACTCAATGTAGTCTCAGTTGAGATTTCTGAAATTGATGGCAAGGTCTGTTATATACGAAGAAAAAAGAGTATTGTATATTACTAATATATGTTCATTAATTTCTAGTCTTAATTTACTTTTATCCTAAATAGATTGCATTGACTGCCGGCACAGATGCATTTATATTATGTCCGCAACAAGTCAATAAAGTAGTATTTCTTTTAGAAGGGAATGTCTAAAGCGGAGTAGATCCTTATAATATATATATTATTGGATTAACTTTAGATTTGGGGTCATCTTAGGTTAGGGTTGGGGTAGGTTAGGGTTTAGGTAGTTATATGTATGCAAAATTGCCTTCCCGACATTGTTATTAAGGTTTTTCTTGTTTTGCTTCGCCGGGATCATCAAATGCTATAATTTGATTGGTCAGGTGTCACGTGCTCCGATCCGCTTTAGACGACCCTTTTATACCGTATAACCGCGAAATAACGCACAGGAGCGTTATTTTGAATAACGGCCCGAATTAAGCTTAATTTAAGCCGGATTCCCCTGCGCGTTATAACACGGTTAGTTGTTTCCTTATAATATGTACTCAAGCCATAATGTATAATTTAGAATGTACAATGGAATTTGATGAAGATATTGAAACATGATTATCCAACATCATGCATCTCTTGGAGTGGTGGTGAGTGTTGAGGATTAAAAATTTTTAGATCAAAAATGCAAATTCCGAAAGATAATTATCACACTTTTCGCAGTTGATACTTTCTACTTGTTTTTATAAAGATCAACTATTGGTTGGCGGTGAAACACTCACGATTTGGGAACAAACCATATCACCTAACCACGAGATTCCTGTAAAATGGACAAAACTATGGGAACAAAGGTTCATATTTTATTGATTCATATGAATTAATACTCTGGCTAAAACGTAACCTTAAGTTCACATTTTACATTGTAGGGTCTCCGCAAAAACAATACTTGCACAGTTTTCACCGGATTCTACGCTATTTGCTTCTATGAGCGATGTAAAACCCTATATATTTGCACCTTTATTTCAGAGTAATTTTTATTAGCTAAATTAATCCAAAAATATTCAATCATAAGAACGATAGGTTGGTGAAAATTTGGTGGAATCCTTATAATTACGAGACAAAAGATCGAAAATATGAATTTATTTACTTACCACATCCAAGAGCCGTAACAAATTTCACATGGCGAAAAGGTCCACTTGAACAAAAAAAGTAATACTTTGCCCAATATTATATAGCCCAATTAAAATTTTCTCTTAATCATCTATGAACATTTTAATAATGCAGTTCAGCAGGTTCAAATATTCTCATAACAATGTGTAAAGATGGAATTTGTCGTATTTGGGCATCAACAAACCCTGATGAGCCACAGTGCCTCTACATATCAACGGTGGTTGATCCGTCACAATCATTAGTAACTCTCCAATCATTGGAAGAAGAAACATGTAATGAAGGTCCTAATCTTTTTACATCAATACATTGGATCGATTCAAAAGAATTTTTATGTGCACTTAAATCAAGTATTGAAGCGTTTGATGGAGATTTGGATGATTCCATTTGTGGGAACGGATTAAGAAAATTGAGAAATTTGGCGAACGACACTCCAGATTTGTTATATCAGGTTCAAAGGGATGGATCGATGGTTATTTGGGGGATACGTGTGAGTCTATTTGTATTTTCTCTGTTTACGTAAAGATTCATTATTCGGCGTAGAGCATTGCATTCAGCACTCAGCATATAGATCCAAATGTGGTTGTTACTCGGGAGATGCCATGTGAGAAGAGAGTACAATCCAATATTACTTTGAATGATCTTTATAGCAGCTTATGCAAGGATTTACTGTGATTTAGTTCCCTCATTTAAATCTTTAATACCTACTAAAGTTCATATATACTCTTTCATTAAGAATAATACTACTTTAAATTCTAATAGAATCCTAAAAATAAAGATAGTAAAAAAATTTTTAAATTTTATATTAAAATAGTTTAAAATCCTGGCATAAGCAAATCAGGATTTTCGAGCGCAGCATCGGCCATAATTTTGGATTACTGAATGTAATGCTCTATAATTCTTAACGACATCGCTGATAGGTCATAATGTCACTCACCATTATCATACATTATCGGCATTAGATTTAATTTTGATATGTTTTATTTAATGATGGTTATAGAATATTTATTGCAGACCGCGACGGATTCCGAAAGTTCTCGTATTACTACGTTTGGCTCAAGCGTTTCCTGTGTCAGATGTAGAATATTTCTTTGGAAGAACATATGCTTTTCACGATAATACACCTACCGACATTCTAAAATGTAAGTTTTTATCCGGTTTCATTGTCATCTGAATCTGGGTAATTGTTTGTAATTATAATAAATTTTAAAATAAAGCTTCAGTAGAACTTGCTGTAATTGCACAAAGTCCACAAGGTCGATTGAATAAATATTCAATCAGATTGGTTGATGTATTTGATAGTTTGTCATCAAATATGCCAATACAACTTGAGTGTTCATGGACAGGTCATCATAGTGACATCATAAGTATGAAAAAAACTCCTGTAGATGATACATTTGTATCACTTGCGAAAGATGGCGAGACAATTTTATGGAATATCGTTGTGCCAGATATAAATCAGGTATTAGACCGTGCAAAATTAAATAGTTGGTTTTTCATAACCCGGCCGGGCCAAAAAAAACTTTTATATGGTTTAAAATAACCGAATAGTTTTTTAAAAAAATTATTATTTATGAAATTTTTTTAAACAAACCGGCCGATCGGGTCTATTTAAAAGCTTCACGTTATGAAAATCAAGATATTAAATTTGTATGACCATTTTATAGAATTCACGTACTTGAATAGTTAATTGATTTATTTTTATGTTATTTTGTAGGTTGACAAACGAATTGGTCCGAGTATTACTGAAAAATTTACTAATAAAATGGATTCTCACATCAAGCTCGTTTGTATTATCCCACACGGTATAATATATAAATTCTTTTTTAGAATTTTCTTGCCTTTTTATTTATACATAATGGTTTTAATGTGATCTTCGAATTTTTTTTGTTAGGAAATTTAGCGGTTTATGACGGAACTCGAATTGTTATATTTTCTTCTGCAAAAAATGACCTTTTTGTTCAAATTGCAATCCTTGAAGACTATGATCCATTCTTTGAATTAATTTTGTTGTTTAATTTCCAAGATGTGACATTATCTTCGACAACTTATCTTGCTGGAATTAGTCACCATGAGAATACCATTTTCTTGTGGAAATTTACAAATAATGATTCAGGTTTTTATTCTCACAAAATTAAACTATGTTTTATAGATATACAATAATTTTAACTTTTATTCCTTTAGTTACATCATCCCAACAGATAGTGTTTATTTCTAAGGCATCACTTTGGTCGAGCTTCAAAACTACAATAGCAGTATCAATTGAACCATGGTCCGAATCAAGTGTAAGTAATTTGCCGCGGGATCGATACCCAGTCTTGGCTACTTTTAGTTCCGAAGATGGTTACATTAGGTATTGGCAATGTAATTTGGATAAGAAAACAGAAATGCAATCTCAAATAGCAGAGAATATTTGGGCAGAAGAAATAAAGTTTTTTGTTGGAGAAGAACTGAAAGTTACTAAGTGTGGGCCACAAGGGAAAATTGCTGTTGGTACGTGATTGGTGAATATTACCCATGTGAGCTGTTAATGTTTTATGATATGAATTTTAATGAAGCTTTCCTTGCTTGCAGTATTACAAACTTCTAATGGGTATGATTTGACTATATGGGGTTGTATCAATAAGAAATTACCGCCTACTAAAGATTTTATCGCAGAATTTAGGTATGTTAAATCTATTTTATTATTGTTATCTATGACTATTATTGCTAAATAGCACTTTTATGTTTTACATAATTAGTGAGAGGATTATTGATGTAGATTGGTTATTTACATCAAGTGCTGAGCTTATATTAGCGATTGCGACATCGCGAAAAATTTTGATTTATACTCGAGTGCGAAAACATCATGTTTCTGTCAGAACTAGTTGGATTTTATTTTCGGAGATCGATATATTGAGGTTTGCTCAAAAAGCATGAAAAAATTTGTTTACTGATGAATTCTACTTATTTGTTTTCTATAATTATATAGTAGCTCGCCGTCGCCAATTTCTGCAATATTATGGGCCAGCGGAGGCTCGCTTATTGTCGCTAACGGAAATCAGCTAAAGTGTTATAACAAATGGTTGAGTTATGAAAATATTGATAAAGGTTTATTCTTTTCTTTAAATAATATACCGTTCGGTTTCTTCTGTTTTTGTTTTATTCACTAGTAATAAAATTGTTATTGTTATTAATTAGTGTCTAGAGTTACAGGAATGAATAAACAATTCCCTACGTTATTTCATGTTGTTGACCATTTAAATGGTCCATTACCTCATCATCATCCAACTTTATTATTGCAACATATTTTATGGGGTAATTAAATCACTTACTTTGTTAACATCGCTTAGGACACTATATTCAAACTACTATTTGATAAACAAAAACCAGGCAAAATGGAATTGGTAAAACAAATGCTTGCACACCTTTGTAAATACCTTAAACTTTTAATTGGTGCTAATAGGCCTATTTCGAGAATTCTTCCTGTACCATTTGATAAGATACTTGAAGATGATGCCGTGTGTATTCGCTTTAATAGTTGCGACTAGAGAAATGCGCTTTAAGAAATTTCGTGCTAATTGTTATTTAAGTCAACAGCATCAAAGAAGACCCGTCGATATAGCATTCTCTTTGGAGAGGATAGTGACGATGATGAGTACGTATAATTGATTTAGTTAATTTGTATTTAATGTAACTTACCCATTTCTTTTTCCAATCGGCAGCTCGCAAGAATCTGTTCTCGATTTTACAGAAGTGGCAAGCTTCTTAAGCGAACAATTAAAAGTTATTTCCTTACCGGAACTAACGTCTGTTGAGCAAGCACAGCTACTTGCCTTAGTTGATACATTAATTCAAGTAAATACGATTGATTATTCCATCATTTAATCTTAAAAATTTTACATAATATACTTGTATTCTAGGTGGAAAGTCAAAAAAGAAGTTTAGATGAAAATGGGGTCCGATATGTATTATTCATGAGAAGGTATCATTATCTGAATAGAGCCACTTTCAGAGTATCTGGATTAAGTTACCGTGATATGAATTGGGCGATGCACAGTGATTCTCAGGTTTGTTCTCATGTTTTCCTTATTTTAAGCATTAATATCTCTAAATTTGTTATATTATTATAGGATCTGTTGATTGAATATAGTACCGTAGCATCAGGTGGCAAAATTCTATGGAATGATGCAAGAGTTCATGGAATTTTTTTATGGCTTAGAAGTAACGAAAGTGTGGTATGCATCACAATAAAATCTAAAGGTCAGCTTCGACATATCCGTAATGATTTGTTTAATTTATAATAGCGACAACAAATGGAGGTCATAGCTCGCAATCATTATATGCAAAAAGAAGAAAGAGATCCAACGGACTGTTCACTATTTTATATGGCATTAAGAAAGAAAAAATTATTGCTGGGATTATGGAGAACAGCAAATAACCATAAAGAGCAGGCAGCGATGCTAAAATTTTTGTTAAATAATTTTGACGAACCAAAATGGAAGACCGCAGCTTTGAAGAATGCATATGCATTATTGGGAAAACAAAGATATGGTATGTATAATTGTGAAAAAATTGCTCACTTATCGATGAATGACAAAATTAAGTCGGACTTTATAGAATATGCGGCTGCGTTCTTTCTTCTTGGTGATAAATTAAAGGATGCTGCAAATGTGTGTTTAAAATATTTAGATGATTTTCAATTAGCTATTGCTATTTGCAGAGTTTATGAAGGTAATGATATCTATTATCTACATAACTTGAACATAACCCATTCTCTGACCATTTTCTGATGATATATGTATTTTAAAGGTGATGAGGGATCCACCTTGAAAAATATTCTTGAAACCCATGTTATTCCTTTAGCTGTGAAGACAGGAGATCGTTGGTTAGCTAGTATGGCGTTCTGGATATTGAACCAAAGGGATCGGGCTGTTAAAGCTATTATGGTTTGTCGTATATCTTTTTGCTTTTTTCATTAATTGGAATATTCATTATCGCTTTATCTATGTACAAACCTGCATATTAAATTTGAATAGGTACCTCTAGAAACTTTGTGTGACATTTCTACGAAGCAACTAGCTTCCTCGCCGTCAACAAATCCTACGATTTCCACAGAATCACCGGACGCTGCACTGATAGTTCTTTACAAACAACTTAAAGAAAAATCTGTTCAAACTCTTCGTGGTGCATCTGAAATTTCATCAGAGACCGAATATTGTTTTGTGTTACGTAGCGTTTTTGCATATGATAGGATGGGATGTCCTCTGCTAGCTTTACATCTCGTGAAAACGTGGTTATTCGCTCCGGAATCAATGTCAAAAAATCCTCACCACATATTAAGATCTAGACGCAGAACGACCATACTCGATATTCCGCTGTTAGACAATGACATTAGAATATCAAGTGGCGTTGTAAATTTTAATAATTGGAGTTGGGAAACTGATGCTGATGTGGCTTCCTCTCCAGTTTCGCCTAGGCCAAGCAGTAAATCTTGGTTTGATGATGATAATACAAGGGATACATCGAACAACTTATTTACAGACGAACCTTCACAGACAAATATTTACTCCGATAATGGATCAAGTGGTACTGATATGTGGAGTTGGAATGCTTATAAAAATAATAATTCATCAAGTAATGTAAGTGGTAGTTACACGGAAAAGGGTAATTTGGAAAAGATTACTTTGTTAGATGATATGGACTTTAATGATTACAAGGTTGCACTTGTTAGACGTTTAGAACAGGTGAGCTTCACGTTTTTACGAATAGTTTTAAGTACGGCATACTTTTATGTGAATCCATTACGGCGCATTTGTCAAATTTGATTAATTTTTGGTCCCAAATTTAAGTTTGGGGTCCAACTTTATTATTGGTTTTCTAATGCTGGACCTTCCCAAAAAATTATTGATACTCCGATCTATAATAACAATGTGTATAACCTAGTTTCCGACTATCGCAACCAGTACAGTTGAGATAACCCATTCGAATTTATCGTCACTTGTTAAAAATAATTTTAGCTTTGTTACGTTTTTCTAATATGGATATCATTGTTTGATCAGAATAATAGTATATAAGTTAACACATGAAGTCAAATATTCTATTGATTAGATTACTCAATCAGTGGTCAAAATTTTAAATTTTGGGGTATTTTACAGATCCGTCGTAATGCAAAAAAGTGACTAAATGAATATGACAAAGCATTTAATAAAGGTTAATTATTTAATCATTTAACATTTGCTAATTCATTTTGAATCAAATATATTACAGCAAATATTGGACGCAATAATGACAATTACCGATAATTCCGACTTATTTGAAAACAATTCATATTATAGCGATTATGCTAATAGAATCGTGCAGGGACTAAAAAATCTGTGTGATAATGTGAAAGTCTCTTTTGCAGATATTCAAGATTCAATTATATCATATCCTGTTTTATTATAAAAAATGTTAAATTTTGTTTTACTTTTCTTATTTCTTAACTATATTAATCTTTATCTTTTATTACAAGATGTCTAGAAATTGGTTCCTTGGAGCTTTATAAATATTTTCAAGATCATAAAATGAAGATTGTATACTAAATAGGTGATGATTATGGTTGAAATTTGACTATTTATTAGTAAAAAAATAAAAAATAAAAATCAATATATGGGTTATCAAATTTTAAAAAAGTTTTTTGTATATTATGCGAACACAAAATTTTGCAAAAAAATATGTATTTATTAAATTATACATTTAAATGGCCAATAGATCATCTTCCGTGCTATTATAATTTATATATAAAAATAACAAAGATAGTAAACATAATTAGAATCTTATTACTACGTATATAAAAATTTTACTTGGAATAAAGAATAACTCGATTAGGGTTCAATTATCCGATAAGTAAAATTCATAGACTAAATTTAGTAATTCTATATTAAGAGACTTATGATATAGTCTAGATCTTTATTTACTCAAACCAAGTTTTTCACGCCTCAATCAAACTCTTACTTATCATTAGGGTTTCGTTAGAGTAGTTTGAATATTTTTAGTATAATGTTTAGGGAAATTCTATTTTGACCCGGATCAAATAACCCTTCTAATATTTAGGGTTAGTGCGAGCCGTTAATGTCAGTCGGGTTTTTATCAACATAGTTTTGGCCCGCACTAATCTTAAATTTTAGGAGAGGGTATTTTGACCCGGGTCAAAATAGAACTTCCCTAATGTTTTTTTTTAAGCAGTCACGCTAGTACTTTTTAAGATTCTTGAAATTACTATTGCAATTACATAGATGTATCTAACAACTAAGCCTAGCATCATCTGGCTATCCTAATAGCATTTAAGTGCAACCTGCTGCATTACTTCAAACAGAGTTGCTTGTCTAATTACTTAAAGTCATAATGAAAGAGTCTTTCTCTTTCCACAACAAGCTCTACAATTGTCTTCCTGATTTCTTCTTTAATTCATTTTTCCTTCTCTTTTGTTTTTTTGTTTTTTTCTTCTATCTTTTGCTGACTAGCCTTTGCCTTTTTATTTGAATTCTTTTTTTTTCATTTTGTTAGTTATTTCTTTTTTTTTTTATTCATTAATTTTTTCATATTATGTTCTTCAGATTTGTTTATAAAAGGTATTCCAGACTGTTTTTGCTAATATATTTACAAATTATTGTCTTATTTTTGTATCTAGGAGTTGTGTTAATTTGTCTTAAGATGTTTTTAAAATTAGACTCTTAATTAGTATTTTTTTTATTTCTGTTTTTTTTATTTTCGTTTTTTCAAATAATGTTGTATACAATATGTAAGATAAAAGAACTTTAGTTTTTTTTTCTTCATTTAATCTTTTTCATACTGTTATGATAAATATTTTCTATATTCTTTTTTAGAACTTTAATTGTTCTTTACATGTTACCAGATGCTTTTGTGTTTTTTTAATTTTGTCATGATATATTAAGTATTCTGCATTCATATATAAATTTGATTTTTTTTTGTTGAGTTCTTTTAATATTGAGAGTTTGTCCAATATGCATTTTATAAAGATACTTCTTTTTGTATTGCTTCTTCTTGTTATACAGTATATTTATTTGATTGATTTCAGCTTTTTTCAAAAATATATCCAGTCATAAATTATTACTTCTGTTATTAGTTCTAAACTCTTAATTACTATTGTTTCTCTTTACTTTGTACCTAGTCTGGTATTTGTTATTAGCTTATATAAAAGTCTTGTTGACATGTCTATTTTTTTGTTTTTTTTTACTTTAAGCAGTATTCTATTTCTTTGCAACTGACTTCTTATATATATTGTTATAGAGTAGAAGTCTTCTTATTTCTACACTACAACAATAACACAATACAGGGAATCTCTTACAGGTATATACGGTGTTCAAGAGGAAAGTATAGCTTCTGTTAGACATTGTCAAGAAACTATACCCATCTCTGAGACAGTTCGATAATTATTACATAGTAGTTTGTAGTTAAAGTCATTTATTAAAGAATTGCAAGAAGGGTAATCCTAGGCACCTGTCCTAAAGGATTCAGGATATAAATTATAGAATAAAGAAGAAGGAAAATTGTCGGTTTCTTGAGAACTGTTGGTTATAGAACTTGCTTTAACCTAAGAGAATTTTAGAAGTTTATATATCTGTAAGTTAAGTGGCTAAGTGACTAAGAGACTAAGTGACTAGTTGCACTAAAAGACTAAGCAACTGGTTTCACTAAGGGACTAAGTGACTAGTTACACTAAGGGACTAAGCAACTGGTTTCACTAAAAGACTAAATAACTGGTTTCACTAAGCAACTAAGTGACTAGTTTCACTAAAGGACTAAGCAACTAAGAGACTAAGCGACTGGTTTTACTAAAAAACTAAGTGACCAGTATTACAAGCTTAAGGCATTAAAATGTTTAAAGCATTAAAGCAACTATAACTAATAAATAATACAATAATAAAAATCTATTCTATAACATTTCCATCACCTTAAAGAAATTTGTTCTACAAATTCTAAATTATTATAGAAAGTTAAAAATAATTTCTGTTCCAATTATTTGTAATTATATGATTTACAAATTATTGTTATTCCAAATTTGTTAAATCAATTTCCAATTGATTCCCAAATTTGTTAAATTAATTTCTCTTCAGTTCCTAATTTTGTTTCATTAAAAAAAAAAAAATTTGATCATTGTTCATAAAAAGAAAAGAAAAATTTTATATCTCTTTCTTCTTCTTTTTCAAAAAAAAAATCAACAACAACAACAATAACAATAATAATAATAATAATACCAAGAATCAATGTGTCAAGAAATGTTTGTTGAGTTTATTGTAGAGACAATAATGCCTTGTATAAGGCCTTGGATATGGTTCAGAATGAGAATGTATGGTAAATATTGAAAGAAAAAAAAAATATTTATTTATATATATATTTTTTTTAAATAACAAGAAAAATTTTCTATAGTTTGCTTTGTTTGGTGGCCTCTCAAAGAAGAAGAATTCAAGGGTTAGAAGAGAAGTTAGAAGAGTGTAGATCAAATGCGATATTAAAAGTGCAGGATGGGTAGATGTTAGAGCAGAGGTATACGAGGTTGTTAGAAGAAAGAAATAGGTTAAAGGTCAGGTTGGAGAATTATGAAGAAGAGTTGAGAAGATTACAAAAAGAAGAAAGAAGAAATGAAAATAGTAGTAATAAAAATAGATTATTGGATATTAGGTTTTAGATTTGTTTTTGTTTTGTTATTAGATTTTTTTTTTTATTTTGTTTTTATAATAATAATAAAATATAAAGTTTTAAAAATAAATAAAAATATAATACTATAATATTAAAAAAAATATGTATAATAGTTTGAAGAAAAATAAAATAATGATGATTTCTAGTATTTCAGCCAAGGATCTTATTATGCTTTGTTCCTTAGCAGAAAGTTCACCCTAGCCAGTCTCGAATGTACAACCTATACAGCCTAGTAATATGCCTTATACTATTAATCTATACTAGAATAATTACTAAATTTCAAATTGGTACCCTTTTTGGATGTCAATAAAATAATTTAATTATCTAATAAGAATTTAAGATTTCATATGATTTGTGTAATAGAAAATTTTAAATATAAAAAGAAAATAAAAAATTTGGTTCTGCCAATAAAAAAAAAAATAAAAAAATAAATGTTTAAGAAATTTAAATTCAATAGCCTCCTAGATACTATAAGATACAACAATAGAACCAACTTTTAACTAGATCCTATTGTCCAGTATATGTTGATCAGGCATAACAAATGTTTACCCTATACAAGGATTATTAGACTTTTAAACTTAGAAATATCCATAGAGTATAGTCAGAGGAAGAAAAGTCTTAATAATCAAACTATTGACAGCTATATATGGCCTTTAAATTTCAATAATATAAAGCTAGTACTTGCCAGAGTACTATTCACGAATATAGCAATCACTTTATATTATTTTGCAAAAAAGAGAAGACTATAACTAATAAAAGATATAATAAGATAATTGTTATATATATAATGTCTAAAAGTAATCTCTTTTAGTATCTAAAATCATTATAGAACCTAAAAGAAATAAGAACTTTAAAGATTAGATAGTCTGATTCAATTAGAAAAATTTTCAAAAATTTTTTCGTCTATGTGGTACAGTAAAAGAAAATTGTTTTTAAAAATATACTTCTAGAAAAGATGGTTTTGCAGCCTTTTCATATCATGTATTTATGCCTTGACCCATTAATTAAAGTTGTAAAAGAGATCCTTCTAGTTCTAACAATTATTAAATTTCCAATTTTGGTTCAGTAGATATCATTTTATTATGATTTTAAGAAATGCTGAATGTGTCTTTTCTCTTCTTAAAACTTCTTTAAAGATCATTTTTATAGATATTGAAAAATGGCATCATAACTTTAGAGCTGATTTGTAAATCAGATAAGCATTTTCTTACTAAGATATAGTATAATAAGAAATGTAGAGTAGGTTTCTGCGAATAGAATAACATATGATTTATCTTTTTATGGTCTAAACTTATAGAGATATTAACAAAAAACAAAAAACATCTAAAAATTATTTTTGTATTTTCTTCTTTTATATTCATTTTAATGTTTCTGTTCTAGCTTCCTGTTCTTCATTTATAATTTTCATCAATAAATAAATCTTTTTGTTTGGGATATTAAAATAAACTTGTTGTATTTTGGGTTGAATCCTTACACCTACACTTTGGCTCTTGGGGTATTCTTCAATTATTTTAAATAATTCCTTACATCTATACCTTGATTTATGGGGAATTATGACCTATACATCCAGGATTTTGCTGAGATAACTCAATATACATCTGGGTCTATGTCAGAATAACTATTCCAATTCATCTAGATCTCTGTCAGGATAATTATTCCAATATATCTGGGTTTTTGCTAGGATAACTATTTCAATACATCTGGGTTTTTGTTAGAATAACTATTCCAATACATCTAGATCTTTGTCAGGATAACTATTTCAATACATCTGGGTTTTTGTTAGAATAATTATTTTAAATTGTTTGTGTCTTCCTTAAGATAACTAAATTTAATTTTATATTTTCATTAATGTGTACATGATTGAACCTTCTAAGCATTAATATCCAAGAGTATTTGATAAAATCTTTCTAGTTTGAATAATAAAATTAAATCTTTTGGAATTATTTTTATAAGAATAGAAATATATCATCAATCAATTTTGTTCAGAAATAACAAACTGTCTTGAAAATATTCTTTGTTGAGAAAAAGAGGCCTGGAACTACCTATATCCAGGTCTTATTCTAACTAAACCAAGCAATAAAATTTAAATAAAATTCATCTTTATAAAATAATCTTATAATCAAAATATACTAATAGTTATGAAGAATATTCTTGTTAATATGTCAATATCTCTTCTATATAATGGTCAAGTAATTATCTCTTTTGGTATCTCTAACCAGTATAGAACCAAAAAAAAATGAGATACTTGAAGTCATTTAGTATCATGAGGTTTGGAAAAATTTCTAAAGTTTTTGTCTATATGATACAATAAAGGAAAATTATTCTAAGAATACATTTTTACAAAAATGTCCCGAATATAATGTTGGCAATAAGTAACTATATCTTGGGTTCTTAATTAAAGTTATAGAGCAGACTTATATGATTTTAATAGTAATTGAAACATTAAAATTGGTCTAGTAGTTAACATTCTATGGTGATTTAA